ATTTTTTGTGCAATTGTGCAAAAGTTAATCAAATGCTAAGTCAGGTCAAATCTAACTAGGGGACCACTTTCAAGCCATAGGGGACGTCAAAATCAAATTGCTGGAGCTAGGATTGAAAGACAGGACGATGCCTTGAAGAAACACTGCCCGAAGTGCCATTTGGATGAAGAGAAACAACGAAAATGGTGCCATTTTAGTATATATTTATTTTATTTGTCTATTCATTTGAGATCTTATGTCGACCTTGCACTCCTTCGAAGTGCAAGGATTTAAATCCAATTCGTTTAAGATGGGACTAGAAATAGCTGTCTTACTCGATCAAACATCATTTGATCAAACGGCGTGAGAAATATGAAGGGTCCTTGTCACCTATTAGTTCGCGGTAAATTCTTTGACACAAGTTTGGATCTAAAGAAATAAGAAATTAGCAGCTTGAATGCCACTCATCATCGAATGAAACATTGTTAGGAGACCGAGGGGGAGATTTCTTATGCAACACCTTCATTCTACAATCTTTCACTAGTCCAATAGCAGTAGATTTACTTTTATGAATCTTGTTACCTTCGAACTCTTACGTTCTGCAAAGTCAGAGGCACCTCAACTTCCATAAATCGGCCTCTTCTTTAATAGAACCGTACATCTCTTCCGTAGTAAGGGTTCTGCGAGGGGCCATAGAAAAATAAATATGTAAATCTTGACTAATAGTTCTTGTATCGTACCCTTAGGAAACAAAATATATCTATCAGCCAAATATATTTTAATTTTTGTGGGAGATAGTTCACCCACCCCTAACTTCTTAAACACTTAATAAGGCAAACATTAATGTTATCACCTAGATCTGCCAAACATTTTTTTAAAATGTAAATCACCAATCATATAAGGTATAGTGAAACTTTCAGGGTCTTTCTTCTTTTTGGGTAGCTTGTTTGGAGGATAGCCTAACATTCCTTATTCGACGGTAGAAATAGCTCCCAACTTCTCCCTCTGTGTCACTATCTCCTTCAAGAACTTGGTGTATTTCGGCATTAGGTACATGGCTTCTACAAAAGGGACATTGATTCGAATTTGCTTAAGAATATCCAGGAATTTGTGAATTCCTAATAAAGTTAATCCCCCTTAAGTCTTGTAGGGTAGGGTATTGAGCATGATTTCGCTTCCTGTTGAGGTTGCTACACAACTTCAGGGATTTCCGGCTCGAGTGAGGTCTCCTTTTCCTCTTCTTCTAGGTCTATATAAGTTGGAGTTGTAACTTTTAACCTCGTAGCAGGTGTTTATAGAGTATTGTTTCCACTTCGCAGAGTGACCGTCTTGCTTTCTTCTTCAGCCTCCTTGATGACTATTAGCTAGGTTAAAGCGGCTAACTTTTCTTCCAGATTATGTAGATCCATTTTGTTCCGGTTCTAAACCTCATCTAGACTCTGAAATCTATCTGTGGTTGTTCCCAAAACCTTTAATTGCATCCATCTTAAGTGAACTTTGTACCATGAAGTATTGGAATTTTTATGTGCATTCTACTTGTGTCTTCATGACCAAAATTAAAGGTAAAGACTTCCAATTCGGGCCAGGTTCTTCATGGTGGATTCGTTCTGGTGATGACCACGATAGATTCAATCTAGGGTTTACAAGGATATGTGAATCCCATGGATTCCTTTCTTCTTCTTAAGGCACTCCCCACATAATATTCCATCCCATAGATGAGGGGGAAACACTGTCACCTTGATGGTGTTTTTTTAACCCTAAGAGTTTGATTTCTTGGTTTGATTTTTTGGTCAATCTTGTCAACAATAGAGGGAATGATCACATGTAGAGTTGGCTTGGATGCTTCAACTTCCTCCTCTTCTCGCTCCTCTCTTCAATCATAATTTTTCTCAACCATGTATTGCAGCAGTTCAGGATATCTCCTATTTCGTTGTCACTTAAGTTGCCTCCCCCAGACTTGAGGATTCTCTATATGTGATCATCATTGATGCCCATAAAGAAAATTTCCACCTTTCTCAAGTCGTCAATCCCATGGTGAGGGCATTCAAAAATTAAAGATTTGTATAGTTTCCAAGCTTCCCCAATAGACTCTTGCTTCCCTTGCTGAAAAGAACCTATGGTTGCCCTCATCTTGGCAGTTCTAGAAGGAGTATAGTACCTATTCAGATACTTGTTGCATAGTTCATCCCACATGGTTATGGAGTGATGAGGTTGACTAATCAACAATTTCCTAGTCGTGCCACCAATTGAAAAAGGGAAGAGTCGGAGATGATCGCTTCTCTAACTGTCTCATTTGCATTGATCACATCAGTGAGGGTAAGAAATTATTCTAGGTGGCGATGGGATATCTCAGTTTTGGCCCCATAGATTGGAAGTCGGTCTTGATCATACAATTCGTGTCAAGAATGATGTCATAACCTTTCCCATTCAAATTAGGATGCAAAACGGGTGACTTTAGATCTATTGCACCTGTATATGAGTAGGACCCCATCATCTTTGTTCTTGGTTGTGGTTGTTCTAGTTCATGCATTGGTTGATCTTGTAGCCTTGCGATTCTTCGAAGTCCTCGAAGTGTTCTTTCGATCTCGGTATCAAGTGGTACCGGGTTAAGAGAATTTTGTGTTCGCATACACACAAGCTTCAAAACACAAACTCAAACAACCATGATGCACAAAGTGTTATAAAATAAAACAAGATAAAACTACTAGGTATAAATAAGTAGAAAAGCAAGACTAAACTAACAACTCTATGATTTTCAGCTAGTTACCAAGGTTCCCCAGCAACGTGCAAAAAACTAGGTTTGTTTAGTGCAGGTAATAATTTGGATGCACGAACTTAAACTAACTACCCCATCTTGAGCCAAGTATAACTCAAGATGGCATTGTTAGTGTAGTGGCCGACCAAGGTCGTATTCCATGGGGCCTCGATATCCTAGGCTTCTTCTCACTCGGTTGTTATCTAGCCAAATCAGGTTTTGGGTTGGTTATATAACAATTTGTAATAACTAGCAACGGAAGAAGAAATGAGAAAGCAGGTACTCGGGGCACCCCCCTCACCCTCGGTACTAGGTATGTCAGTCAAAAGGATAAAACTTCTCGTTTATGGGGGATGAAGTGTGAGACTCACTAATATAGGGGCTAGCTCAACATTCATGAAACTAACCCCCGCCCAATCGGATCCACTGATCCAATCTCACCTCAATTAGATCGACGAATTAGTGATATACTCTATTCCCTTTCAATGTGTTGCACCCATCTGCCACTAGGTCAATGTGTCGATAGTCATGCACGACTAGCATCACCTTGGTGGGTGTCCTAGTTTGTAGGGGATGGTCACCTCGTCCACTAACTAGGTCCCTAAATCCTAATCTTCACAAATCATGCCAACCTGCTTAATCCACAACCCCTTCAACCAAACCCTCACTAGGAAATTAAAGATAGCATATGGAGAGACAAGTTCAAAGCACAATAATCAAAGATAGATGCATAAGAACACTAGCCAAACACATTCCATTCATAAATTTAAGATAAATTCATCTTACATAACACAACCTAAAACTAGGGTTTGGATGGGGGGGACCTCTAGTACCTTGAGTGACTACCCCATAAACAGGTGAAGAAACACATGAAAGAATAGGGTAGAAGAATAGAGATGGAAGACTTCTGGAGAATCCTTTTCTTCTTAGCTCCTTCATACTTCTTATCATCTCGTCTTCTCCTTCCTTCAGGTTCTCTCTCTAAACTCTCCCTCCAAACCAAAAATTTGACCAAGTGTTTAAGCTCTCCTTGCAATATAGGAAGAGTCCTCTATTTATAGACTTAAGGAGCATGGACAAAATCTTGGACAAGGGCTTGAGATCTCGGGCATGATCTTCAATAGAGAGGCCGTGATCTTGAAACGATATTGTCCTGGCTCTGCTTGCTTGGGTAATCGTGGGCTGACTTCACGGTCACTACCTTGAAGTCACGGTCGCGATCTTTATTGGGTTCTTGGGTGAAGAAGGATGTGATTCGATTGTTGAAACCTTTTTCCCATCCCTGGTTGTTTCTTCTACAAGTTCACGGTTGAACCCTCCAAGATCTCGGGCACGATCTTTCTTCATAGGATGCGATATTTGGTGGAAGTTGGCGGGATCCTCTTCTTGGTTGCGATCTTCATGTTTTTCTCCACATCCTACATGTGTGCCCCATTTTGGCACCTAAAATGCAAGTATCGTGGAATGCACCCTAATACGACATGAAATGCTCCATGGAACGAATTTGGGATGCATATGACAATATCTTAACCATGTGGACCAAAGAATGACATGAAATCGCCAAGAATATGGAGGCTAAATAACTCCGTTTTGGGTGCTATCACATATAGAAGCATCTTCACTCTCTTTACTTGTAAACATGTGCATCTTGCAAACTCAATCTTCAATCCAAGATAGAACATCTACAACAAGGGGGCATGAAAAATAGAAGATACATCGATTGGGGGAAGAAAAGACTTGAATTCAGTAAACATTCAGCCTGGCTGTCGAATCGTAGCTCTAGCAGCCTTTTTCAGACTTTAACAACTTCTGGTTGTAAACTTGTTTGGGCCTTATCTCACTCCTCCGACCTTCAAATCTACAACTGTTTGATCCTAGAAGATCGAATTCTTGTTTTCTTTCATTCCTTGATGATACTAAATGATTCCTCTACCTGAAACTATCCATAAACTACCCAAAAACGCATCGAATCTTGGGGAAACACATCTAGAGGCTATCAACGCACCTTTGAGAAAATACCAAGTAAATCCATGTCATTATGACAAAAAATGTATGAAAGCCATATAAAACATGCCATTAAATAGGGGTCTAGAATAGTATAATTTACGTGTCATCACATTCCACACATTTGACTTTGATTGTCCCCAAGCAAACCAAACTCAAATCATACAACTTATAAGGTCAACGCCCGCACTTAGAGAACTAGGCCTCATTAGTGAGGTGCATATCTCGTAAGTAAAATCTGGCGAATCTTTATGATCATAAGCTCCTAATTCAACTAGAGAGTCTCTAAATATTTTGAGTGAAGTTTTTTGCAAGCTTTATTTTGATGTTTAAGCACATATGTGACCTTATTTAACAAGTATAGTTTTACTAGGGCTGGCAGAACGGTTTTTGGTTAGCAGTTAACCGGTCGGTTACGACCGAACCGACCAGTTTTCGGCTAACCAAAAATCGCTCTGTATTGGCATCGGTCGGTTGCCGGGGGAGAGGGGGAGAAGCTCGGATAGCCGATTAACCGCGGTCAGTAACCGGCGGTTAACCGGCTAACCGACTACCCCCCACCAGACTCAAAACGACCCCGAAGCCCTACCCGAAACGACCCCTTCCCCCAGCCCCAAAACGACCCCGCTACAACCCACCCGAAAGACCAAAACAACCCCTCTCCTCTCCAACCCTAACGCCGAGTCGACCTCCTTCTCCTTCCTCGACGGCGACACACGCTCCGGCGGTAGCGGCGGTCTCCTCCCTGCTTCTTTTACCTTCATCTAAAATCAATACTCAAGAGCCACAAGAAATGAAGAAAACAAAAGAAAATTAGCCGAATAAAAAAAATCACCTAAAGCAAATCGAAAAACCCAGCATGCAATCCAAAATCCTACCTAATTCGAAGCTTTTTCCTCCTCCGGTCGCCCTCTACTCCTTCTCCCTTCATAACCAAACCAATAACCCAAAAATCATCATTAAAACGCGAATCCTCAACATGCATCAAACAAGAATCAATTTGTAGAAAAATTGAAGCCTTGAGGGATTTCACTCACCGCGGCGGAGGCCATCGCCGGCGTCCCGAGCCCGGTTTCGTCTATGAAAGATGAGAGCATCGGAGAAGCTTTGCTTCGGCTCATTTTCTGGGTAAGACGAGGGAGAATGAGAAAGAGCAGAGAGAGGGAACGATTTGTTCTTGGTTTGTTAGTTCGCTTTCTTCTTTCAGATTGGAGGAGAAATATCAAGAGAGAGTGAGAGAGAGAGAGAGAGAGAGACAGAGAGGATGTCGGCGAGTTCCACCACTGTTCCCGTCGCCGTCAACAGAGATGCAGAGGGAATGGCGATTGAGGGAGAGGGCAGAACAAGAGAGGTGAGGGAGGGAGGCGATTTCGGGTTTGTCGAGAAAGGAAGGAGAGAATCGAGATTTGAGAGAGAGTAGGGAGAGAGATAGGTTTCTCTGCAAAGGAAGAAGAAGAATCGAGAAGTGAGAGGGCCGAGGGGTTAGGATAGGAGTGACTAGTGAGTGGTGCAGAATTTTTGTTTTTTTAAATTTTTTTTTTTTAGAAAATATCATTTTCCTGTTGGCCGGCTAACCGAGCCTAAAACCGGGACGACCGGTCGGTTGACCGGTTAACCATGACCACTCTCACGGTCGGTGGTCGGCAAGTATCCAGGGTGGCTCGGTTTAACCGATAATCGGGTTTTTGGTTAAACCGAAACCGACCGACTGCCACCCCTAAGTTTTACATTCTCTCTTCTATGAATAACATGCCAATTTTTGTGTACTTTTGTAGCACATGTGGGTTTATTTTTCTTTTTATGTTGGTACACTGTAGTCGTGATCAAGCAAGAGCAATTTTTGCACCTTAGCAATAGCATAAGGGCTTCGTGTAACTCCTTTTCCTCTGTCCATGTGGTGAGGCAATGCTATATTGGGGTGTCGGAAGCTCTATTTGTGTCCTCTAAAGACAATTCGAAGAGGACACTTCACTTAGTGAGTGAATCGATGCTTAATTGAACCGTTCCTATTCCCGTTGTGTAATGAGTGATTGTATCACATGTGGTTTACTTCATCCCACTCTTTATTTGTAAAGGCAATAGTCTTTTATACCGCTTTGTTAGGTAGGATTTCTGAATGTATATAAATATAGAATTTGATCCAAAAATGGCTTTTAAGAGCAGGAGACTCGTAGGAAGTGATGAAACTCTATCTATAGTGTTTATCACTCCCATATTTGATACATCTTCTCCTTCTATCAATGCATCTATATTAATTTCTCTTGTATTTCATATCTAAATCATAATTGTTTGATCAGTGAGCCTTTAATAAATCTAAGTTGTGTTTTTGTACTATTTGATGCCTTCTGGGTATGTTTTTATGGTTTTTAAGGTACAAAAGCAACTTAAGAATATTTTGATCATGCATTGGATAAATCTGGAGGACCGGAAGAGCTATGAAAAGAAGAATATGATGCTTTCTTGATAAATACGGGTCCCAAAGAGGGAGAAGACTATTAGTAACCACGCATATAGCCTAAGAGAAGACCAATGGATGAAGACTCGGCACAAGCAGAAGCAAGAATGAGCGGTGACCAAACAATGGGTCCAACAGCTGCCCATGGAAACTTGGAAAAATTGAAATCAAATCGTCAGGAGAGGTTGTCCATGGACCGAAAAGGTAAGCCCAACGCCCAGCCACCGACAAGAAGGGGGCAAGCCCAAATAGAAAATATTTAAGCCTTGATTCGACCCAAGTCAAATGCATCTTTTCCTAGTAGGTTTAGGAGGGTTTTGGCCGAGTTCTAGCAATATAAATAAAGGGCTAGACTCATTAGTTTAGTAGGCTGCACAAATTCACTTAAAACTTCTTTAAACACTCTGATCGAGTGAGAGCCTAACATTTGTAAGAGAGGTTACAACTTAAGGAGATGCCTTCATCATTGAGGGAGGTACCCTCCTTATCTTTTATGTATAGCTAGTTTCAAATTGATTGTATGATAATCTGAACTCATTTATCTTTGTTTTCATGCTATGATTTCATATTATTCATGTGTTGATGCTTGTGATTTTCGATGCCCTGTGTGTGTTCATTGATGGTTTATGTTCTGATGCCTATGTGTTTGCTATTGATGCTCATTTAGTTCAATACTTCTTATCATCGATGCTTATGAATCTATAGTGTGCTACTATATGCGTGGTGCTTATTATCATCTAGGTTGTCCAGAAATTACCAGCTTATGATACACCATTGATGCTACACGAGTATAGAGGGAATGATCAACCATCTATACCTCAAGTAGTAACAATGCTTGACTGTTAAATCATTGTTGCTATAGACCATAGAATATGGCTTAAGAGGCCCACACTTAATCATGTATTAGCCTCAGTTCTCTGTTCTGAATTGATTAGGTGATGTTATGATGGCACAAAGTGAAGCATGCATTAGCTTGTTAAGTTCTTATTGACTGTGGGGAAAGCTCGAGTAGGATGCCCTGATTGTAGGGGATAGTGTGATTCTATAGGTGAGTGATTGATATATGATATGATTGAGCATTATTATGTATGATGATTCTCGAGTATACCTTCTTGTTCAATAACGTTTCTTTACCTTTATGCATTTATAACTTGAAAACTTCCTAAACATCATTACCTTCCTTGCTTTGCTTTTCTCTGCTTGTTACTCAAATGAAAACCCCTAAAGAAGCTTGTCTATTTCGTGTTGAGCATAGATGGTATGGTGTGAGTAGTTATGCATTAGAAGACCTTGTGGAATACAACCGTAGGATATCCTAGGACTTCTATCACTTGCATGTTTACTAAGAATTATGAAGACTATAATAACTCACAAAGGGTAGTGAGAGGCATTGTACTCATACATAACGAGTGACCTTTAGTCTCATGACGAGGACATCCTTTATAGCTTCTACAAGCCTCCCTATATCACTTATAAACATGGAGATTAGCAATTCCACGTATGTTGAGCATGGATATGCATACGAGAGTGTACGGTATAGTAACAAAAATTGAAAATGTTAGCACATTTACACGCATATATAATACCCAAAGTTTAGAAAAAAAAATTCGACTCAGTAAAGATATAAAACTCGTGCCCCATCATACACTTTAAATTGGACAATGTCCTCATTGGACCAAACAAATGAGTAAGGGAAGGTGGAATGAAGTTACCTCGAATGTCGATAAATTTTAAAAAGAGCACGAGCAAGTGGCTAACGTTGATTGTAGAACAAAAAAAGAAACGAGAAAAACGAAGAAACAAATGATAAGGCATAGAAATCCGAGTTGTCTCAACCCCATCTAAGGAATATTTGAACCACTAATAGTGGATATAAAGTATAGACATTGTCAGTGGCCCTACAGAATATGAACATAGACATCTATTTAGGTTATAATTACTTTTTTGTGAAATACTACGGTCAGCAAGTGATCCAAATTTGATTAGGGTACCTCAATTTGTGCCTCTCCTCCACCGCAAACTCATAGCTCACAAACACCCAACAATCACAATGATGTTCAATTAGTATCATGAAGTATAACCCTAAAAAAAATAACGAGTTTATACTGTATACAGATCTTTACCTAGTTTTTCCAAATTATGTTGCTATTGTTGCATATTGCAACAAGAGTTCATTTGTGATGGCTCCAACCCATATTAGGAAAAAAGCAAGGTCACAATGTCAAATAGTATAGAAAATTGAATAAAAAAGAGCGTAATAATACTTACCTATCCTCATAAGCATCATCTCATTATTGATCATTAGGTTCCCAATCTAATGATGGCTTCTGTGGTAGAGTTGTGGTAAGGTAATGCTCTCATACCCAAACTTGGCGGATGAATATAGAAGCATTAATTTCCTCTTGCATAGCTCTTACAACCCTATATAATTCGTGGTAGAGCAAAACGAAGCTTGTCAAGTCCCAACTCTTCTTTCCAATCTCTCGTCTCACTTGTCGTTGTCGAGTAGTATATGGAGCCTAATGTCCTGGATAGACATGTTTGACTTATCGGAAAACATCATCTCACCAACCAAAAAAAATCATGAATGTGATAGTTGATTCGGTTTCAATAGTGCATTCACTTAATTTTCTAGATTTTGTGTGCCTCAACACCCAAGAATTCGTTCCGGCAAACCACCTCCTAGATCTTAGAAGTATCGATAATTACCTTTCCATGGAACAAGAACTAGGTGATTATGATGATATCCATGAGCGTGATTTTCATGTCTCCATTAGGCATATGAAAAGTATGCATCTCCGGTTTGCGACCTCTCTACCACGGTCGTCATCAACTCGGTGTCAGTTTATATATCTACAATGGTTCGAACTTGGAATAATGGTGATCTTCGAAGATATGGCTTGAACCTTTGATGCCAATTTGGAAGCAATGTGGAGTGTCGCCTGATTGTCGCAGTATAGAGGAGTAGGTTTCGACTAAGGAATACCTAGTTCATGAAGTAGCTAACGTAACTAGAGTAATTCAAACACCGTGCTCGCCATGGCACGGTATTCAGCTTAAATAGAGTAATGTGCAACAACCTTCAGACATTTCGTGCGCCACCGTGCTCGCCATGGCACGGTATTCAGCTTAAATAGAGTAATGTGCAACAACCTTCAGACATTTCGTGCGCCAAGAAATAGGAGCCGAAACAAATGAAATGAAGAACCCAATGGTGGAACATTGGGTGGACTGACACCCAACCCAATATACATTACAATAAGCAGTCAACTCTAGAGAATTATCTGCAGGGAAATAAAGACCTTGACCCGGTGAGTACTTCAAGTAACGTAGGATCAATGCAGCGTTTTACTTTAAACACCCAACCCACTAGCCTCCCTATATCCATAAGATATTTTACTTTAAACACCCACTTGCAATCAATGCAGCGTTTACCGGGAGGAAGAGAGACAAGAGCCCATGTACCATTTGCAATGACAACTACAAATTCTTTGGACATGACCTCCCGCCAGCATGCATAACGTATTGCCTCTTTTAAAGAAGTCGATTCGGGAATCCGATCCACAACGCTCGGACATATGAGATTGACGTGATCTCCTTAATTGACTGAATAACTGAGACTAATCTACCGGAGAGTTCAGCCTCTCTAGCTTTGATATTACAGATAAATTATGGTGTTACAATGGCCGAAGGCCATGCTCCCTCGCTATTTATGCTAAGCTGCTTATGCCCTAGGTCATTATAAGGTTAAGAAGTAGTTACAATTGACCTAAGACAAAGACTCCTTGTCATACAAGGAAACATACTTACTGCGTGTGAGTTGGGCTGGAGTTGGGCCGCATGAGACATCGTGGGTTTCGGGGACTCGCCATCACTCTCCAATATTATTATTTTGGTATTTTGTAAATTTTTGTAGTAGTTTTGGAAATTTTGGAAACAACGCCCCCCACTTCTTGGCAATAAAACAAAATTAAAAAAATTGAG